CTGTGCTGGGGAATTCTGGGAGTTGAAGTCCACTCATCTTAAAGTTGCCAAGTTGAGAAACACTGCTGTGTGGTATGCAAATAAAAACCTAAGGAAAAGAATCAAAAAAGTAGGGAATCCCAAAACTGGCTCAGCTTGCATTCCTTCGGATTACAATTATTCAAGAATGTGTCTTGCAAGAGATATCAATGTCCATCCTTGACATGCTTAAAGTCAATGAGGCTTTTTGTCCATATAAACATAGGAAGGCTAATTTATAATTTGTATCATGATGGTCACTCACCGCTAAAGTTGCCTTTTTGGCTTTTTAACCATAAGCCACGGTTTACAAATTGCCTCCATTAAGTCACAAACTAGCCACATTATGACTCCGTATCCAAGCTTGGACATAGCGTGTTTTGCAAGGGTATCTGTGGGGAAGGGGCCAAAAAGTCAATATGGTAGCCATGACTACACAACAAGCATTGCACGGGCAGCACACATAAAAAGGGTGGGATTTCAATTGCCTTGCCACGGCTGCCATTTTGACTTTTTTGACCCCGTCCTGTGGATACCCCTGAATTGTTTTGGAAATAAGACCAGGGGATCAGAACAGACTGAGTATCCCACACAACTCCTGGAAGATTGCCATGGAGAGAATGAGGCCCTTTGCATGTAAAATGTGGTTCAATATACAAGCCAAGTTGTGTTGTTCAAACCCTGCCATCGTAGCTTCCCAACCATGATTTGTGACTGTTGTTAACCTAGCAAGTCATGAACTGTGGAGTAAGGCATGACAAATTGAGTTGTGCGAATTCAAGCAGTTGGATTCATTCACTGAACCTGGTTCAGTTAACCACAGATTAGCACTTTGTGGGACACACAATCTATATATCCAACTAGACCAGGATCATCCAGGTTCAGATCTCCTCTTGGGACCAACACCTAAACCTATCTGGAGATTTTGGCTATGATAGTTGCTGACTAGATTTGCACAATACCTTACGCTAGGCTAAAATGGAATGGGATCATTTGTGGTTCAACATGCCCTGTGAATCCAGCCATTCTCTGAGAATGTTGTGTAAATCAGGCTATCATGAGAATTAATGATAGTTTCTTGGTTTGGGCATCACACCTTCTATAACCACACAAATGGCTTTGGGATACCCCAGGCTCCAAGTTTAGTGTGTTGCGTGAACACCAACAAGCCAAAGCGACCCGGGAGCTTAGTTTTCGGTCCAGTGGCTGCATTCACACAACCCATTTCATCTGGTTACATTGTTCTGACTTCACACCACACGCCAAATCACAAACCAGCAGAGCGGGCTGGATGGCACCACTGCCCCAGGCTCTTTAAACTGCCTTTGCTAAGCGCGTGGGGGGGATCCCTTCCCCCGGGTTCAGTTCTCCACGGGAAAGCGCGTCGCGGGACCCACAGCGGCGCCTGCCTTGCGGGGAGGTCGTGCGTGTGCCGCGGAATGCCCCGCGCGCCGCCCGGAGCAAGCGCAAAGGCGCGGTCCCCAAAGCGAGCTAGACGTGGGCGCAAACCCGGCGGAGAGCGAAGCCCCTCGTCGGCCCGAGCGAGCCCCGGCGCCTTGACCGCCCGGCGGAGCCGAGGGGGCAGCGGCCGTCGGTGGGCGGGATGGCAGCGCGGAGGGGCGGGGAGAGCCTCTGCGTGAGTCACCCTCCGCCCCCGCCAGGCAGAGCGACGCCGGGTTATTATTGCTTTGCCTGCTCGCTGGTCGCACCTGTTCGCGCCCTCGCTGGCCGAGGGAGCCGCAGCCCGTCCGGCGCCCCGGGAGGCCGCCCCGCACCTCTTTCCTCCGTTCCTCCGAAACGCCCAAACTCTGCGCGGGGGCGCGCTCGGGTCTCCTCGCGAGGAAACCGCCCGCCTGAGCGAAACGTCGCGATCCCAGGTAAGCTGCCGCCGCCGCCGCCGCGCTGCGGGCGAAGTTGAACGGGAAGGCAGCGCGTCGCTCTCAGGGGCGTCCCCTTCCCGGGCGTGTTCCCGAATAGCCCCCTTGGGGCGGGCGCGCCCGGATCCTGACCCTGCCCTGGTTCCTCCTGGGGAGCCGCGCGATCCCAACTTCTTTGAGCCGCGATCCGCGGGACGAACTTCCCAGAAAGGCGTTTGGGGAGTTGGGTTTCTAACGGTGAGAGAGGAGCGGGTGAGTTGGGGCGCACCGGAGGCTTCAGTGGGTTAGGGACGGGGCGGGACGGGACGGGTGCTACCTTGAGGGCTAGTAACTTGATGTCTTGCGATACAAGTTAGCCTGGAAGAACCTTGGTCCTACTGCTCTTTTTTTCCATCTCCAGTCGCTGGGCTGAGTGTTTACGTTTACCGCCTCTTCCTTATCCGGCGTGGATGTAAAAGGGCTGATTCTGGCTTCTGGGGAACGGCTAGTACCGCCTATCTCTTGCTTCTCGTGGTCCCGTTCTTGACTGCGTGGTGTTTATTCCCTCACTCTGTTTTAGATATAATCTGCCAATTGAGGACAGATTTGATGAACTAGCTTCTGTCACCCATCTTTGGGCAGATGGAATCCTTTGGTCCTCACTTGGCTCCTGCTGCTTCTATTATATTATTATTATTAATAATAATAATAATAGATCAATCCATTATTTTAACTAGCTGTCCCCTTTGTCCCTCCATTCTCTGGCTCTCTTCTATCAAAGTTTAGTTTGAAAACTCAGTGGGATCTGCTTCTTACATCTTGCCAATGACCAGGACAGCACTCTGTTAAATTTAGGAATAATAGTAACAATGACAATAATAATATAATAATGCATATTTCAAATGTGCAAGACCCTACTGGTGCATAAAGATTATTGTGGGAGGTAGAGACTCCCAACTGGGCTGGTACTGAGAAGAGTCCACTGGAGCTGGGCAACTAATAAATTCAAAATAATAATAATAATAATAATAATAATAATAATAATAATAATAAGCCAAGAATTCCTTTTTTAGAAACACTTCTTTCACCAGTCCTCCCCTGGTTCCTTCCTGCAGGGAGCTTGCTTTCATGGACCAGGAAACTCGATTTGTTCAATTCTGCCCTCTGCTCTTAAAAACAATCATTTCTTTGTATCCTATTGATTTTACTAGTGGTTCAAACAGCAAAGCCAAAGGCTCACCGCACAGGAATGGGAGTTACATAAAAATGACGCTTCTGTACATTCTGCTGTTGCAAACTTGGTTACAAGGGGGAATGTCCTTACCTCCTCTGGGCAGATAACGCTCATGAGGCTACAGTATTTTTTACCTAGAGAAGAAAGACCGAATGAAATCTCCAGTCCTACGTCATCCCGTTCTGCCTTTCAAGTAGATTACTGGGCTGATTCGGAATGGGGTGGTCCTCGGTGGCTCTTTAGTAATCTTTTCAATAATCTTACCTGCAAGGTAGGCCAGATACTAAGGAAGATCCCTGTGACGCAAATGGGATTGAGGGAAGATTGGCCCTGGGGGTGTAGCTACCTTGTGCCTCTCCCCTGGGGTCAACGCGTGAAGACATGGCTTGGGTGTCCGAAGTTCAAGGTGGAGGTTCAGCCTTCAGGGCTGGCAAATGCCTCGCCTTGAAGAAATGTCTCTCTAGACAGTGCATCGTTCACCTGTGGAATTCATCGCCACCAGACACCATAATAGCATCTGACGTGGAAAGTTTAAAAAGGATTGGATCATTGGTGGGGGGGGGCGGGGAGACAGTGACAGAAGCTCACAACACAAACCGGGTGACTTAGAGACTTGCATCTGATGTCAGGAGGCAAATGTGAAGGGCTAGGCTTGCATCGCGATGTTGAGGTGTGTGCGATGTTGAGGTGTGTGCGTCTCCGTTTTTTGTCGCTGAGGTTTGTATCCGACGTCTCTGGAGGGCTGGTCTTCCGAGGGCCATTGGTGTAGATTGCGGGGGAACAGGAGTGAGGAGGAAGGGACAGGTCAACTCCTACTTCCTAGCACCTGGTGGTTGGCCACTGGTGGTTGGCCACTGTGAGAAGCTAGCTATTGGACTAAGATGGCCCGGACCTCATCCATCAACTCAGCACACAGCGTCTTTTGGTGCGTGAAATTTGGTGTGTATGTTTGCACCTGCCTAGTTGATATTGACCAGCTCTCGACTGAGGATGCTTTGGGGAGTGTGTTTTCCCATGTGACTGAAAAAAAAGTAAACCAGGATGTTCAAGTTACAGTTGGTGGAGAGGCATGCCTGCAAGTTTTTGAGATGTGCAGAGTTCATCAGACAGGATGCGGTTGCCCTTTTGGATACCAGTGCTGTTTGAAAACAGGCAGTCCTGCTCACATCACCCTTTGCTTGTGTAAAAAGTGCAGTCTTGCCCGTTTGCACTAACTGAACTTCTCCAAGGGTGTAGCTACAAATTTGCACAAGCAGGGAATTTTTTGACTCAGAAGTAACAACTGCAATCCTCTGAGGCGATTGCTCCTTTGTATAACTCGCACAACAAGATTTGATTCCTCTGTGTGTGTGTGTTTGTGTGTGTGTGCGCGCGTTCGTCTTGCTGGAATGTCTGTATTGACACTTTCTCCATTGCTGCACCAAGAAACTTATAAAATCCCCAGCCATCCATTTTGCTAGCAAGCTTTCTCTTGGTTCAACTTCAACTTCACTTTCTATTTTATTTTATTTATTATTATTATTTTATTATTTATTATTATTATTAAAATAATATTTTATATTATTTTATTTTATTATGCACTTTTCACATCAAAATAAATACTGCCATTATTGCTGCTCTTTTGCGATAGTCTCCTCCTGGAATTTCACACAGCTACAGCTTGGAGAAAAGATGCTGAACGGTCAAAGGCCAAGAAAGTTGGAAATTGCAACACTAGAAGGCCGGGGAGGCGCCTGATATCACTGCTATAGATATCAATATCTACAGATATAGATATAAGGTATAAAAGTTATAAATGCAGGGCATCGGAGAATATGCATTTCCCAATCAGCAGTGGCTGAGTTTGTGCAAAATTGCAGGGAAGGTGGGGTAATTTGTTTGTTTATTTTATTTATTCAATTTATGTCCCTGCCCATCTCCCCTAAGTGACGCTTAAGTGGAACGGAACTGTAATGAGCACAGAGGATGCTTTAACTCGGTCGTATCTACCGAGCCCATCTTTGCAAAATAGCCCACTTCTCGGTGGAATGTTTTCCCCAGCTGCCCTTCTTGTCTAATCTCAGGGCCCAACGGGAAAGAATAACCTCATTTTAGAGGAAAATTGGCCAAGGAGGATCTAAAGGGCTCCTGCCTGTTGGCTGAGTTCCCCCAGCCCCAGAACTCCCACTCCCCTACCCTCTCGTTATTCTTGCAAAACAGCAACCACCCTTGAAACGTGGCTGACGAATTTAGCACGCTGTGGGGCACTGGGGAGAGGGAAGGGTTACTCTCTTCTGCTGGCTGGTTCACCCTGGCACTAAAACAGCTGGGCGTACAGATGCTCTAACCTCAGGGAGTGGGGGGCGCCTTTTATTTTTCCGTTGGAAACCAGATCCAGTCTCTATCCTTAAAATACTCCTGGCTTCCCCAGGACGTGGCCGACTCCTTTTCTGTCCTTTCCAGGCTGGGGCTGCTGAAACTTCATTTTGGTTAAGGCCACAAAGATTATCAGAATACTAGCAAAGGTTATTGAGATAATAACAGATTTATTATTATGAGAACTGCAGCAAGATTATAGTATGCACAGAGGTGGAAGAATAATGAAATACCGAGAGGGGAAGATTGGATTATAACATTGACAGAGCTCGCCGAAAGGGCAAAGCTGACCCCTTTAGTCAGGGGAAAAAATGATGAAGACTTTTTTAAAAGACTGGAAGCCTTAGTTGGACTTTTTGCTGAAAGAAGAAAAGACTGAATTGATGATTTATGGATTTGGGGATTAAAGGAGTCAAAGAAGGATGGAAAAGAGTAAGATGGCAATTACTCGATAGAAAGAAGGGCGGAAGTCAAAATTCTATGTTTTCTTTCTTTTACTTTTTCTTATTTTTCTTTTAATTTTTTATACTTTTATTGTATTGAATATATATTAACAGATTTATTATCCTCTGAGCTTCTGTGAGCTACACCTTATTTCATCAAATGTTTGCAGGAAATTATTTTCTCTTTTTTCCTGTTCCTTTCTTTTTTTTCATCTCCTGTTTTCCTCCCCTCTCTCTCTCTCTCTCTCTCTCTCTCTGCTGCTTCTTTAAACATTGTGCATTTCTTTCATCAAAAATGCCAATTCCTTTCTGGGCCATTGATACAGAATTCTCCATTTTGGTTTTCCAAGTATGCTGGGCTACCAGACCTCCTCTTCTTCGACTCTGTGTTAAGGGAGTTGCATGAATTCAAGGCTGGTGCGCAACCTTTTCCGTGTGTTCTCAGAAAGGTGTTGGTTTGTGGCATTTACTTCTGGGTTAGTGAGGGTTTGCAGACTTGGCACTCCTGGGATCTTTCTCCCTTCTTAAAAAAAAAATAAAATTCTGGCAACTCCCAATCCGATATATAATGTTCAGTTTTGCTTCTACAGTGGCATCTTTATAACGGGTGCGAGGAATGCAACAGTAAGTCACTGTGCTGATTGAGGAAAGAGTCTGCAAGGCAGGGCTAGGAAAAATTCAGGTGCCAGGAATTTAGACGCTTTGCTTTTTTTTTTTCTTCTTTTCTTTTTCTGAAAGTGAGGTTAAATATCTAGGAATTATTTTTCCCAGCCTTGCCAATAAGATTCCAAGAGGATTGAGAGGAGACGCTGCTGCTGCAAACCGAAGAGGTGGCTTTAAAAGGTAAATACAACCTCAGTTTGACTCCTGGTGGATAAATAAACAAATCCATGCAGTTTTCTTGATAAAGAACATGGAAGCAGCTTGTCTTGTCACCGGTCTGGAATGTTTTTCTATTTCCCTGCCCAGCCTACAAAGCTGATGTCCTC